CACCAGCAACCCATTCCTAGAAAACACAATTTAATCCTACAGCATCGTCTTTCTTAAAAGAGGAATCACCCTCAAGTCTTTAAATCCTTCCATGGCCAGAGTCAGCTCCAGAAAAGCATCTTCCTCCTAATTTCACCCAGGGCTATTGAAAAGAGGCCTTGGGAGGTCCTTTCCAGGACAGTGTTTGGTTATTTACACTTTATGGTTGGGCATTAGTTTACCTCCACCACCACAGGAGGAAAAGCTTCTATGTCTTGAATGCTGTATACAGATAATCCCTTTGCACTGTAGACCTACAATTGCCCCAAAGTAAGCATCTTAGGGGTAAAGTACTGTTAAAATAAGCACTCACAGAAATGCAGAGGAATGAATAAATTTAGGAATTCAATTTTCTCTCCTCCACTGGATCTCAACTCATATAATTCTCATCATTGGACTATGCAAAGATGAAAAATGAAAATCTCCTTTCTCCCCAGGTCTGCTTTATAATTTCACAAACAGGCTTGACCTGATGTGCACCTTCATGCCAGTTACACCATGGGGCCAGGTTTTGCTATAATGTTGTAAAGCAGGAATTTTCAATCTCATGGCACACGTACACTAATCACTAAAATTCTGCAGTACACCAAAAAATATATTGTCAATCTGACAAAAAAAAAATAGGTCTAGCTTGGATTCATTCACACCTGGTGGCTATAATTGTGTTGGCTGTTATCATTTTTTTATTTTACAATATAAGGGAAAAGAGGTCAGTGCCCCTGACTAAATACTCAGGTATTGCACGTTTTAAAAAAATTCTTGCGGTATACCAGTTGAAAATTGCTTGTTCTAAAGCACCAATAATTGGGTCTTTAGTGATCTGGCAACAGCCAGGGAGGAAAGGGAAACATCTGAAGTTATTTTTACTTTTGCAAGTCTTCTGGCTGTACACGGTGAATGCTAGCTAGGGTGGGTCAAGTATTGTCTGGAGCCGGTCAGGGTCTTTTTTTCCCCCCTCTCTGCATGGCCTCATTTCCGTCTTCCTGTTGCTAGGAAGGAGAATTAAGCATGAGAAACTCGTGTTTACAATACTGGACCATCCTGTCCAGCACAAGGCTCTCTTCAGAAAAGTACGATTCACTTCACCCACTGTACTTTGCATGCCCCAGTCTTCTGGACCAATTCACCCTTCCCTGGATATTTTCAAATTGCATATTTACTCGCCTAAGTCATAAAAATACCACTCTCATTTGAACATTGCATCATGGCTTAAAATCACCAAGGGAAACCCAAGTACTTATTTTTGTATTTGAAACCACCTCTTGGAATCCCACCAAGCCTCTGACTGTCGGCATCTCGCTGGGGCCCGCCATGTCCCCTTTAAGCCCCCGCACTAATTCTACACCATATACAGTTTTCACTCACTTCACAGTAGTAACTTGTTTAATCACAACAGGTTTTCCTGTTAATGTGGTATCTTTTCCAGAAGCAACCAAACATCCTTTTTTCATGTAAAAACATCCTTAAACCTTACTTTGTCTTTGCTCTTTGAAACGCAGTATAAAACAGTAACAAAAAAATAAACAAATAAAGAAGGGCTTTAGGTTAAAGTGCAACTGGCCTCTCACCTTCACTCCACAAATATAGGAAAATCCTTTGACTGGTCCAGTGTATTAGAACTTGGAACACTGCCTACGATTAGCCATAGTGAACTACGTACGTGTCTTTTCAACCTTTTCACTCTTGAAGATGTACGTGGTATTTCTCCTAAGATCTATACCTGGGAAGTTAAGACACATGGAAGTCACCAAAACCACTTTTCCCATCCACTCTAGCGCAAGATTTAAGTTGGGAGCTACTTATTCTGATCCCGCAGAGTTGGGAACCAAGTCAGCTTCTAGCAAACTTGGTGTAAGATGTTCTTGAGCTTCTAGCCAACTTGGTGTAAGGTGTCACTCAGTTTGAATAAAAATAAAATGTTTTTGTCAAAAGCAAACTTTTGAAAGCAGCTGGGAGAGAAAGTCAGTCTGCTGTGCTTCAATTTTAAACTCTGAACAGTAGTACTAATCATAAAAATATGCACCCAGGCTTGGGCCACGCTATAAATCTGGCACACTACAATAAAAGTTAATACAAGCAATCGCCAACATTTTCTCAGAAAATGTCTTGAAATAACTTCTGAACGTACATCTGCTAACTATTTGACACTCAATCTCCAGGACTTTAGTTCTTCTATTAGGGGGGCTGCCGACTTCCAGGGCACCCCTCCGACCATCTGCTGCAGTCTGCAAGCCAAGATGGCACTGGGTGCCTCCACTAATTCCACACTTATGGTCTGCAAATGATCTCTGCGGAGGACCAGATGGATGCTGAATTAGTCAACCTCTTCGAGCTGCTGATAGATTTACATCCAGGGTTCTGCTGGGCTATTATTTTCCCTCACCCTTTCAGCAGTTTGGGGAAAATAAAAGTAATTTGAGACTCAGTATTCTTGTCTCCAGAGCTGTGATTTTTTTCTACCCAAATGCGTCATAGATGCCACCCTCATGAATCTTTCTGGAGTGGGCAGCAGTGCCCAGGCTGCAGTCCTCCAGGCCGACAGCTGAACCGGCCTGCGAATGCTGAGGAGCCCACTTGCTAATCACGTTGAGTGTACAGGAGGGACTCACTCACAGCTAGCGTGGGGCAAGGTTTCTCCACCGAGCAGACGGACTGCACGCAGGGGCTTCCTTCTACAGTAACTACAGAAACCGGTATTTGGGGAACATCAGGACCAGACACTGCGCTAAGCACTCCTATTAGCTCGTCTGACGCTCACCACCTCCCCCCGTGGAAAACAGTTATAACCCCACGTCGCCGATGATGGAGGCACAGGGAGGGTCACCTCCCAGATTCACCAGCGAGCAGGCTGCGGGCGCAGGATTC